GTTTTTATTTTTTAGTTAAGTTAAAGTTTACTACTTTTACTTAACTTTAATACTTTTTACTACCTATTATTATTACTATACATTAGTTTATTATATATATATATATATATATATATATATATATATATGGGATGTTCACTTGTTTTACAAGTAGTCTGGCATTTGTTTCATTAGCTTCAGTGTTCTATTTTTGTGACGATCAAACTGCTTTGTAATGCCATTAAGAAATCCTATGAGGATGGGGAAATTTTAAAAGCTTTTAATTCCACCTCATCATAACCACCAGAGGGTCTGATTGGTCAAATGTAAGGCTGTTATCCTAGATGGGGGGTTCAAGCACATCTGACATCTGGATTGAGAATTCAAGAGAACCCTAGGATTAAACAGGATTTTTGCAAAAATCACCGGTCCTTGCAGTATGATTTCACTTGGTAGCTTGCAAGACTTCACCCAATTATAGTTTCCAACAAATAACATTTTAATGTAATTTATGTTAAGAATTAATGATGATGTACAACTACACTTAATAACTTGTTTGCCCCCTCAGTGGCCAAAGCAGGGAAGATTTGCCTGCCGTTGGACTAAAACATTAACATGTTGAAATTTCTGAACAGAGCATATTCATCACGGATATTGGTGGAATTTTAAGTTGAATGTGTTGCTTCTCGCTTTCGTTTCTTTATCATAATCTGAACAAATTTTTAAGACATTTCCTCGGCGCTTACTTCACTTGTGACATGCTGAATCAGTATTTCGTTCAAAGTTCAGAAATTGGGCCTATTTATGGGCTGTTGAGGAGAGATTGTATGACTCTTGAAATGCTTGATATAATATTGCCTGAAACCAGAACCTGGACTAGGGGAACTATTTAACCCATGATCTCAAGCAAACCAGAGTCCTCTGAAGCTTAATTTGGCTGCTTTTCATATGAGAAAGATGAGCTGGCCCAACATCATTCCATTATTGCTGCGCCATTTCCCGAAAGCAAGAGGCAATCCCACAAAATCATTTTCTCGGATATCCTACACACTGGTTCTTCCCAATCCAATGGTGGATTCTGGTTCTTTGTTGCCCATCTAAAATGACTTGTTCCTTCTGGTATGTAAGGGGTATCCATGTGACAAGAGGAAGCATAGGGGTGTAGTTATTTCGATTATCTGAATTCTTCCAAATCCATGATGTTTTTCTGTGAAATATTTGGAACTTGTATCAGACATTTATGCATTGACACTTCCTTGGATCTGATGCCTTACCTTGTTCTAATCAATTTCTTTTAATCACTTTTCTCGTTCTTTTGTATCCATCCCTTTAGAAAAGCGGACTAGTGCTCGTTCTGCCATTTAAGCTTGTCCAATATTGTGAAGATAGTTGGGGCACAAAGCTTCTTGGTGTCAATGGGTTTATGACAGTTAACTTGATTTGAACTTTTAACCATTGCTTTAAAACCCAGATCGGCTGGGTGAACTGGCCATCCAGGAAACCCATCCAGATCGGCGAATCGCCGAATAGGTCGATGATTCTGCCAGTTCTCCCGGGTGAGAATCAGTCAATTAAAAAAAATTGAAAAAAATTAAAAAGAATATATAAATTGTGGGAAATGGGCAATCCAAATATCCCGATTCCCCGACTGAATCATCTGGTTCCCTCAGGAACTGGCCCAATTCCCATTTCCACTGAGAACTGGATTGATTCACAGCAATTCCTAATCTCGATCGAGCGATTTCAATCCAGATTTGTGTGTTTTGGAGCACTGTATTTGACCACGGTCATCCACTTGTATAATTTGACCGATCAGCTGCTCTAGTTGAGTTGAAAGAGTGAATATCAACTGTAAAACTTTTAATCACCTTCATAGCCGTAAACTACAGTTCACTACCATCAGTACACCCAAAGAACTCCAATACCACATAAAACTGAAAACAAAGACGTGCTGGCGATCCTACTGTTGCTCGGGTGAAGTGGGATCTCTACTAATTTACTACGTCGAGTGGATTTCTAGTTCTCTCTTCATTTCACTGCTCTATCCATATTCATTAGTTGCTTCCAATTCATTGCTATTGTATTGGGCTTACATACATATGAGCATGAGAGAGAGAGAGAGAGAGAGCTCCTATGTGTCACATGTCATGTGCTTACTTGGTGGCTCATTTCACGCTGATAAATAAGCCAAAGAGAGAACAGTGAGAAGGCAGAACAGCAAGCAGCTGCTATATCAATATAAGTATGCCCACCTCTAATGCCTTGAATTTGAAATAGATTGATAGTCTTGTTCTTGTCGGTGGTTTGGCCCATAGGCCACCTCATTATCATTAGAATCTAAGACATAAAATTCTAATGAAGAAGGTGGCAGTGGGAACTTCTCTCTCTATGAGTCAAGCAGCTGTCATTGTAGGGTGGTTGGAATCATAAGGTTGTACTGCTATCTCGAATTGACATGTCTTGTCTTTCCTGAGATCGTCCACTGTGTCTCTCCATGGGCGTTCCATCTGGCTACTGGATGCATAGCACAGCATCACCTTCACCTTCTCGTATTGTTCGTCGGACCCTTGAGGGAGAGAACAGTATAGATACCATGTCACCATTATCCGGTCTTTGCCTGACACCAATGCTGCAAAACAAGAAAACCCAGCTTAAAAATGGTGAGACAGTAAAAACAGACAACTTAGGAATTGTCAGAGTGAGAGAACAACAAAATCAACAGAAGCTGTGAGATGGAGAGCATCTTGAAACCAACTGAAGTTGAGAGAGAAAGAGAGAGAGAGAGAGAGAGAGGAACAGATGTTACTTTTGCCTGGTCTGGTCGAAGCCTGAACGTGTAGAGTTTGGTGCCGTGATGAGAAGAGGATCCCCCCTCCTGCATAATAACCTTGGAAGAAGAGAAGAAAAAGAGGAGATGGCGATGAGAAGGTTTATTCCCATTGAGATAAGAAGTGGTTGATGAATATGCAGATTCAGTCGGGTTAAATTGCACTTGTGAATCTAAATGGACAAAAGGTTTTGAGGGGAAGCTCACATTGTCGTATTCTCGGAGGCATTAGGAATCAGTAAATGACAGAACATACTGTATCCAGTGTGATTTTGACACCATTGCACATTTTGTCCCTACTTCCTACTGACCAGCTAAAAAAGGAAAGTCACAAGAGAGAGTCTGTGACTCATTAACTTTTATACTATTACTTGTGAACCACACCGTACAGATTGGTACACGTACCTTCAGCCGTCTGTTGTCGACAACTGCGAAGGTTGTCAACTGTTTCCGCGCACAAGCGGACAAGAGAGGAGTTACGGTTGATGATTATCGACCGTGTCGACAACTACGAAGGTTATCAACCACTCCTGCACACAACCGGACAAGTGCGGAGAAACGGTTGATGATTATCGACCTTTACTGTATGTCATGCTATGGTGGTACATGTACATGCATATGCAAACGTGTTGGGCTGCTAAACGGCCTCAGGGTTTATGCTGGGCCAGAAAACCAGGAGTGAATCTTATAAACTCAGGCCACCCTCAGGTATACCCAGCCAAGCATGATCCGTGTGATGCCCGTATGTCATATCTTTTTTCCGGTTCATAATATCCTTTTCCTAGGTCTGCTGCTTCCGACGCCTGGCAAAAAGAAACTTTTTTTTTTAAAAGCTCTGTTAAGCAAGAGAGATGGAGGCTTATTCCCACCAAGTTTGACATTTAAAAAAGAGAAAAGAAGACACAGAGGGGAAAGGAATATATTAAGTGGTCCATCCAAACAGGGCCTTAAGGATCGTGCATTGTGCTATTTATGGCCTCAATTACAAATAGCGGAGAAAAAACAGAGTCATGACCATCTAAAGTCGAGCATGCAGGAATTGCGCTTGAGCTTGAGTGGTTAATAGTTGACGTTACATCTACTGAACAAGACCCCTTACCAAAAACCAAAAAAACAAAAAAAACGTGAAACGTGCAAAGGTTAAAAATTTGAAGGGGCCGAAGGATGGGTGAGTAGTGTATTCAAACATGGTCCTTTTGAATGTTATTACTGGTGACTTTTCATTAATGTAAGAGAGATTTATAGGGCAAGTTATGGCATGAGGACCAAGTTGCTCCAAGAATCCTTTTTACATCCAAACAAATAAGAAATAGCTAAGCAACATAATTGTTCCTGTGACGCCATCCATCATTGCCCTCAGCCTTTGCTTTTCTATAGACATGATTCAATTGAATATCTCTACCACTCACTCAGGCTTTTATCTAAGAAAATATTAGACTCTGGTATGGTTTCATTACAGTGCCTAATAACCAGGGTTTAAAAAATGCCTATCTGAATCGTCGGATTTGGATGGAGAGAACCGAAGGCTCAGTGATAGAGAGAACCACCAGTAAACTCCAGGAAGAAATGTGTACGACTCCAAGTATTTTTCTCTTTATAATACATGGAAAAGTATACAATAAGATCATTTACATTTGGTACATGAAGGTCACAATTCGACTTATCTTTGGATCAGAAATTGGATGGCTGGCTGCATTTATTTCATTGACTACACACAAAGTTCAAAATAAATTTTTTAAAATTTTGTGAGTATTTCACATCAGATCCTTATAGGTAAGGATGCAGTTTCTATGGGGCTGCAACACTATTTTTTTGTTTAGATGGGAAAATTGTAAACAACCCCCAAGACCATGTTTTCTATGCAAGTTATCTCCGACCAAACTTTTTTTCTCACTTTTTTCTCTAAAATATACTTTTCTAACAAATACCTCCCCAAGCAAAAAGAACTATATTTTTTTGACGAAAATACCCTTTTTCGTACATAAAAATTTAATTTTGGCCAGACATTC